CAGCTAAAAACAAAGGCATTGGCAACTATAAAATATATTTATGCCTATCACACAACATATCTGCTACAGATAACAATTATTCCACACTACGATATGATATAAACATAATTAATTGTAGGTTTTACATAAATAATAGACCATCTTCTTGAGCTTTTATCCTTAGTTTGCCAATTGTGGAGACAACTTAAATAAAAAATCCAGTGTAATGTAGGAATTCGGAACTGGCGCTTTAAAAGACACATTTAGACACCCATAGTACAGAGAGTACAGAGTCTGCTGTAAGCTACGCTAAGAACAATAATTTACACAAAAGTGCATGCAACAAAGTACATGTAATTCAGTTATTCATCACCTTATTACACCTTCTACACCAATTAGTCATCATACTAGTAGCTAGCTGCCAGTGGAAATAGTTACTTTTCAAGTGTGAGTGGGACTACTCTTTTCTGGAAACAGGAAGGACATGAGCCAAAACCTTATAAGCGAGAGCTTTGACATCAGTTAGTGAGTTTTCACCCTGACAACATGTGCACTGGAAAATGCTCCCGTTGCATTGCCTACACTCTGTACCCATTAGTGCTCACATCCATCATCTGTAACATAGTGTTGTTCTTTCCTGGAGGGGACATCAAGTACGCCAAAGATGGACACATTACCGAGGAGGTGAAATACATGGGGGGACTCGTTGGAGGGGGTTTACTGGTAAGTTGTCTAGCCTCTTATTAAAGTGTGAGACTCTGGACTAAAAGCTGCTCTAAGCTTGATTCTGAAATATAATGTGCAGCATTGGGTAAAACTGAAAAACATTGGCTTTATACTTTGCATATGTTTTTATTGGTTTCTCAGTGGTTACCTCACCTGTTCTGGATCCTAAATCTGTGCTTCAGTGATTCTCTTAATCTAGCAACATTTCAGATCCGTTGCATTATTGATTAGTGTCATCAGGTACCCCATATTTTAATGATGCACCTTTCAGCCTGACTGCTACAAGTCTCAAACTTTTAATGCCACAGTTTGAAATGGAATTCCTCAAAACCTGACTGAGGACTAACTTCCTCAAAGTGCTGAATTGTTTAAACAAACAAAATATATGAACTACTTTGAACATGATTGACACTGATGCTGCATCTGGTTCCCTGTCAATGAATGTGTACTGCCACAGGTGTTGATCCCAGCACTTTACATTGGCTTGACTGGAGAAGAGGGCTGCTGTGGAAATCGCTTTGGGGTGAGTCGGTCAGAAGTAGATGTTTTAGGTGGTCAGTAAAAGATAAAGGGAAAACATACCTTGAGTTAACATTATTTTGTCAAATTATTATTTCTAAGGTCTAGAAGAACTTTCACAGTCAAATATATGCAAGTGTTTAATGGAGACCAGCAAAGCTGAGAATTACTCAATGATAAAAAACAAAAAAGCTAAATGGTGCTGTATCACAATTGCACAACATTTCCTCTTTAGATAAGATAATGCCGCAGTATCACAACACAGCACAGTACATTTCTCCTTTCCTTTCATTAAAAAGGACATCTAAGTTCAAACCCTTTGCAAAAGGTCTACTATTATACTACTGATATAAATCAGAAAATATTTAAACATTAACCTTATAATTTACCTTCTGCAGATGCTCTTATCCATTGTGTTCGCCGCAGTGGGGGTGGCCGGTGGACTATACAGTTTCGTTGTGGCAGCGCTTGGTTTAAGTAACGGGCCCTTCTGCAAAGCTGGTGGGGATTGGACAACACCTTTCAAAAACAGGTGACAAAAACAGGACGATTGTATTGGATCATGCTTGGTTTCCAAATGTATCATGTCACAAAATCATGCTTTGTATAGGTACACATTTTAAACTCAGATTCAAGGTGAGCACAAATAAACGCTCCCTCTTCAGCAGATTAACGTTATAACTGACTTGTAAAGTCTGCACATAACATCATTCTGCACAGTGAAGATCAAACATTCAAGAGAAGTAACAATAAGCAAAGCACATTGACGCTGTGGTGAAATGTAAATTCAGATACTTTGGATATTCATCTGAGGGACATTAGGGATTACTTTTTATTGAAGAGTAATATTAGGGCAAAAACATGAGGGAGACTGAATGTAGCTGCATCGAAGAGGTAAAACATCTACTCTAAGAGCTCCTACACATCTGGCGAGATTTATTGCAACAATTTGAACACTAACAATAACTACTATTCCCTTAAGCTGATGATACACGGTGCAACCTTTTGAGCAATGTTGCTGGTCGCAAGTCCGACTATGTTTTGAACGGATAGCGGTGGTGCGGGGAGGATGGCGGAGTGATGGGGGAAGAGGATTACGATAGTAATCTTTACTCTTTACCATTGACGGCAACATTGCCCAGCACCATTGTTCTAAAAGTTGCTCCGTGTATCATCAGTTTTAAAGTTGACAAAAACTCTTCTGGCATTAAAAAGGTAAGCAGTAATTATTTTACTAGAGAAAAATGGAGAAATAGATACATATACAGATCTAGCTTTATGGATTAGTGATATAGGCTACTGTAGATGTTTATAGGTTGTACACAAATAACAGACAATTTCCATGTTTTCCATGCTTTTATCCTTACTTTGCCAATTAAGGATACAACTTAAATAAAAAGTTACAACGCCAAGTTACAAGTCCTTCCAGTGTACAAACAGAAGTAACTGTTTTTACGGCACTTGTTTGCATAAAAGAAGTTCTAGTATTTATTAGCCTGTTCTCTTACATAGTACTTCTTCCTACCTGAATGACTATAAGTCGTGGGGAGACTGCACAGAGCCTAAGAATGTGGTGCAGTTCAACGTTGGATTGTTCATGACTCTGATGGTAGTCAGCTGCCTGCAGGTGATTCTCTGCGCCATTCAGATGATCAACGGCCTCTTTGGCTGCCTGTGTGGAGCCTGCATCAAGAAAGAGGTAAAGACAAAGAGGTCACACAGAGTTTCCATGTTAGGATATCTGAATACAGCTAGTTCTCACATAAGGTGTGTCATTTAAGAGAATCTTAACTTCAGTTCACCTTGCTTTTTTGCTTTTTTCTCTGTATTTAACATATAGGAACCATGATAAGGATGCCTCTGACCCACATCTGAAGAATTGACTGGTGGCCCCTGCTGGAAGGCTGAGACTGGTTGAATCAGCATTCACTTTGAAATTGTTCCACTCTCTGATAACAGATTTTACAATTTTATGTATCTCGTGAAGCTTCACAAGGTTGCATTATATTAGGTTATGCTGTGAAACAAGCACAGTATTACAAAAAAACTCATTCTAATTGTATGCTCAATTTTAAATAAATAGGTTTAAAACATAAGCTGCTGATCCACTGCTACAGCTCTTTGTTGTGTTTAATCACATTTAGCATTTTACAGTAATATTAACTGTTTGGCTTATTGTACATTTCAGGCAAAATAATAAATACCACGACTTCTTCTTCAGTAACACATTTCATGTTGATTCCATGACTATAAATGTCACTCAATACTGTTTCAGCATTTACATCTATACATCTATTTCAGTTATCTCAGACTGTTGGATGTATAAACTTACTTTTGTTTGGCTGGCTGTTCCCTGGTAGCAAAGCCAACATGTTAGATGTCACAACAGGAGCTTCTATTGTCTTGTAAGGTTACAGTTTCATACATTCAGCAGCATTTAGATGCTATAGGCCAAGACAGAGCGAGGTATAAGCAACTGCCATTTACCATGATGGTGGAAATCACAACCCAAACGTTTGCTTTTCTTTCGTTTGCTGCCTAATAATGGGGGGCACATGCAGGATGCTTCCTGCTCCACAGTGCCCTGGCTTCAAGCAAATGAAGAGACCAAAGTGTATCTTTCATGATGCAGCACTTAAGAATTAACAAAAGTGAGTAAAACAAGTGTGATCATATCCTACAATAAAGGTCAATCATTTACTAAGCCAGTCACTGCTGTGGTATTTTCTAATAAAAGTTAATTATCATTGATGGCTTTGTTTCATCCCAGCGCAATGCAGAATAATGACATATTAATGTATTTATTGGCATTTAATTTAGTTTTTTGTTTTTGTTTGTTTTCAAGCCTGTCTGATCCCACTGAAAATGTCAGGCTGGACAGAAAATACTAAGTAAAGAGAGAGAGTGCAAATTAAATCTCCCACTGTTTGTGTGTTTGAGTTGTTTCCATTAATTTCCTCCTTTGAACATCATCCTCATCAGACCATGTTTTCAATGAATGAGAATCTTACAGACACTTGGAATAAAAAAGGGCACCATCTTACCATCCGCGTTATTCTGGCTATGACTCTGTTGTAAATGATGGTGGTTGCGTGTTGCTTTAAGTAACGGATTCAAACGATACTATTGTTCATTGTTTGTGTGAAACTCAAATGAATCAGCACCTTAATCACTGATGAGGAGCATTGCCTCACCCAAGCGTTGCTTGGAGACAATGCGTGCTTTGGGAAGCATGACCTCTAAAATAAATTGTAGCCTAGTACCGTCAGTGTTTAACCACCCACACTGTGTCGTTTATCAACTTTTCGCAGTTGATGTCAATGACACATTGTTCTTGCTCTCCCAAACCTGCTGCACGCAGGACTAATGTCCACCCGTGCTGTGATCCTGCAGTCACAATGTCAATAGGCTACATTACACCAGAATACCGCAATTAATGGTGTTGAAACAGATCCCTCACAGGAAATCCCTGCTTCCTCAACGGTCCACCAAGGGCAGGCAATCTAGCACTTACTATTAATAGGCATTATTACAAGGAACTAAGCATATTGGGTGCCTCACTGAACTACACATGCAGCCTATATGTAGGCTTAATAGTGATGCGACCTATGACTATGATCTGACTAAACAAAACAATTTCCGACAAACGGGGAATATTGTCCACCCAACACGGGGACCTGACACAGTGACGTTTGGAGGACGCTCGGGAAGGACCTTCAGAGTGACGTTTCATTGTTGGGCGTGTTGTCTTTCAATCAGAGCCTACCTTGGCATGAGTCACTATGCTTCTGCGGCCTATCCCGGGCTCTCTGTTAGTCCATGTTATCTTTTTTGCCATTATTTCCCACACCCTGAAAATCACACGAACTTGGGCTATTTACTTTCTGCTCACGGAGACACAGTTCATTCGCTGGGTCAGCTTCAAGCAAAACTGTCTGACAACAGGAAGAATTTCAGCTCAGTCACACAGAACAAGTTTGACAGCAGTTAGTTAGTTTTCCTTTTGACAACATGTGCACTGGAAAATGCTCCCGTTGCATTGCTGTTACTCTGTACCCATTAGTGGTCATATCCATCATCTGTAACATAGTGTTGTTCTTTCCTGGAGGAGACGTCAAGTACGCCAAAGATGGACACATTACCGAGGAGGTGAAATACATGGGGGGACTCGTTGGAGGGGGTTTACTGGTAAGTCGTCTTATCTGTAACCTGTTTGTGAAGGGTGTGACTCTGGACAACAAGTTGCTGCAAATCCTTTTCTGAAATGTAAGCCAATGTGCAGCATCAGAAAAATGTTGGTTAAATAGGCTATGTAAAGTTAAAACAGAAAATGCTGGCTTTATAGGCTGTGTTTATTTGCATGTTGTGCAGAGGTCATCTTTCCTTCCCGACTCCTAGTTTTGTGCTTCAAGATCCATCTTGTGCTGATACGTCATTCTGACTGAAGCAGTTTCAAGCTTTTGAGTTTGATGCAGTTTTCCCCCGAAAGCTTTGACTTAGGCCTATAAAGATTAAGTGAAAATGTTACATGACTACATCGAATTGAATATTAACTACTATCAACTGGTCTGCCCTGCCACAGGTGTTGATCCCAGCACTTTACATCCACTTGACTGGGGAAAAGGGCTGCTGTGGGAATCGCTGTGGGGTGAGTAGGTCAGAAATATACATGCTATTTCTAAGGTCAAAAAGAACTTTCAATCTCAAGTAGCCTAAATGCACGTGTTTTTAATGGAGACAAGTAGCCTAAAGCTAAGAATGAACCAACCATGGGGGGGAAATCGAAGTATGCTTCATTTTCATCACAGCACAGTATCCTACACATTTTTCCTGTTATTTCTTTCAAAAAGAAATGACAAAGAAATTATACAAATTAGTGTTACAAATGAAGTTTTAAGTGCTCAGTGAAAGATTAGGGCTGATGTAGGCTACATTGTAAAATGACTAACAATATAAATTATCAGCAATATAAATTATACTAAATTGTATGTATGCAAACATGCATTTCACCAGCTTATAGTTGAACGTTGTTAATTGTCAGGAAAGAGTGGATCACGATATAAATCAGTGAAAATAGAAACAGGTGACTGAAAAGACTTGTTTGTAATGTACACATATGACGCCTCAGAGAAACATGATCACAGTTAATAACCCCAAACAGACACCTCCGGGACTGAAAAATGATAAACGAGGAAGCGCCAAAATGCAGTTTGAGACGCGAGTCAGTCCCACAGACCCAAAGTTAAAATGCCCAACTTCACAGCAGTGCGTCGCTCCTGCACTGAGTGACGCTCCAAGACCCCGAGAAGATTATCAAAATGTAAAAATAAAAAAAAAACTAACTAAAAATACTAACAATACAACAACGAGCAGTAGCATATAGCCTACTATCAACATGTACAAAGCTGAGAAAAGTACCTTCCTTAAGGAAGAAAAAGCACACCACAGTCACACTGCATTGTGCACGTAAAGAATGCAGTCTGTTAATAACACATTCATTTAGATAAGACATGCACAAAATATTTACTGAAATGAGTTTTGAACTCGCAGTGCTACTGATAAAATTATCACATGGCGTCTTAGAATAACACCAAGATTAGAATTGTGTTCCTGTTTTTCCTGGGTTTAGAGCTATGATAACGTTTTCTGATGTCACGTGTGGGTGCAGTATGACAGTAGGTACCAGTAAAATATAGTAGTGAGCCTAAAAGTAGAAAATATTACCAACAGGCTAGTGCAAGCTCAGTTTTAGCAAGTTTGGAATAGCCTGTAGTTTACAAGGTTGAACCATCCATCTTCATCCGCTTATCCGGGGTCGGCGTCGCGGAAGCAGCTCCAGCTAGTGACCCCAAACTTCTCTTTCTCGAGCCACATTAACCAGCTCTGACTGAGGGATCCCGAGGCGTACAGGCCAGTGTGGAAATATAATCTCTTCACCTAGTCCTGGGTCTTCCCCGAGGTTGAACATGTTGAGAAAAACAAAACACACACGAACGTGACGAATGTGAGTGGTTAAACAAATGTCAGCAGACAATAAGACTCTGTTTCTCCTTAAATTAACAAATACCTCGTTTCACAATAGCACGAAAGAATTGTTAAGAGGAGGAGGGTATTAAGCATGGGGAAAGATTCAGTATGAACATCCCATGTCCTAAACTGTAACAGAAGTGTTTCTGACCTCTGCTTATCATCTAATCTCTGCAGATGTTCTTATCAATTGCATTCGCTGCAGTGGGTGTGGCTGGTGCAGTTTACAGCTTCATTGTGGCAGTGCTCGGGTTGCAAAATGGGCCCCTCTGCAAAGTTCTTCTGATTTGGACAACGCCTTTTAAAAACAGGTGAGTAACTTTCTGAAGACGCCTGTGTTAAATGTCCTGCTCATTCATAACACCCCCCTCCCTCTTCTGCACAGCCAAAAGAATTACCTGACCGACGACACGTGGTGGGGGACATGCACAGAGCCCAAGAACATCGTGCAGTTCAACACTGGATTGTTTGGCACTCTGGTGGCCACGAGCGCTCTGCAGGTGATTCTTTGCGCCATTCAGATGATCAATGGGCTCTTTGGCTGCCTGTGTGGAACCTGCACCAACAAAGGGGTAAGCTGAACCTGGATCTGAAATGAAAACAGTCAGTTCTCCCAGTTGTCAGGATTTGTTGTTTCATAACTTCTGTAATATCAGAGAATCTTAATTAAATCTTTCCTCCCCTGGTGTTTGGTTTTGTTTTTTTATTTGCTTACAGCCGCTGTGAGGTCCTGACAGCTGACTGGCGCTCCCTGCTGGAAGACTGAGAGTAGTGTTCCCTGCTGCATCTGCTAAACATAATTCGCTCTTAACTTGCTGTCTTGTGACATCAGATTTCATATTTTTTTATGTGTATTTCATGATGCTTTAATACTTTATTATAATAAAAGACAGAAATCTTAATTATTTGCAGTGTAATAAAAAAAATGGCACAGTATAAGAAACAATTCTAGTTATTTGGTTAATTCTGAATAAATTGTTTTTAAAAAGCTGATTCACAGCTACAGCTGTCTTGTAACACTGTAATTGGCATTTTACAACAATATTAACCTTTTTGGTTTATTTTACCTTCCATTTTAAACAACTGTCTTCAAGAGATAGCTTGTAAAATGAAAAACAGGACAAAGTTATTCTCCAATGACACCTTTAATGTAGATTGTATTACTACAATGAATAGCAGTATTGATATCTGTACAATCATTTCAGTATTACTGCAAATTGTTAGCATTCCAAAATACCTATATTTCTTAATTAACTTTAAAATAATATGACAGAGATTTATTTCTGTCATCTACTAAGCACTGGGGAAATAAACTGCACATAGAATGTAGTGTGCAAATGGTACATTGAATGAGGCAGTTGATATTTTCTTTCACTGATTTGTACATAACAATAAAGGGATACACAACAAAAAAGGCAAAGTGTAGTGGTTTTCAAAGGCTGACACTGGGTCCCAAAAGGGTGAAAACTTAATCACAACAGGAATGGAAATTTAACACGAGAATGCACAAACATTCAGTATGATTAAAAAATGTAAAACCACCTGCTGGCTGTGTTGGATGTTTTGCTTTGAGGCTAATGCATCCTCTAAAGACTTCAGTCCAGGCTGTTTGAAAAGTAACACTGCCCACTGTGAGGAGTAAGCAAATGTTTAGCGTCCAAAGATCCAAAACAGAGGTGCACTCTTAGCTGAGCTTGATCACATCACATTGTAGGTAATTTAATGGAATTAGTATATGCCACTTCATATTTTTTTATAAACTCTTCTTGCAACAATAACCTCACGACCTAACGGAGTGCTTTTCTTACTCATGTAGTTGAATACAGAGCAAGTGAAGAATGATTTGATCTGTCTGGCAGAGAAAAAAATATCTCGTGCGTATACGACGCTGTTGAGGTAGTAAACTAGACTGTGACCATTCCTTGTAAAGACACTGATTAAGGTTGCTAAATTTTGCCACACACACACGCGCACGTTGTATGTTGGCAATAGCATTTCTTGAGTGTTGAAAACAATACAATACAATACATAAATCAATAAAATTAATTACTACGGTATGAAGAAACACTATGTCAGGGGTGCGAGAGATGTAGTGTGGCAGTTTTTTGGTAAGTTTAACAAAAGGCAGGAAATGGTAAAAACCACATCGTACACACTATAAGCGGACTTGACCTCAGGCTGCAGATGTAAACTCAGTCTTGATACATAATATGCACCAGGCACCCCTTCAGCTGGAGTGTTTAAAACCTCACTTCCAGTTCACCACTCCTTCATTAGTGTTACGCATGTTCTAGCTGTCAAACTGCTTCATCATGAGCTTCCGGCTGGCCTCATAACCCAGGAACAGGGCGCCGTTAGCAGGAAAGCTGCGGACCATGGTGGGGGTAAGACCAGAGTAGAGCGCCCTCACACCTAAACAAAAAAACCCCAGCAAAGATTACATTGCGATTGATAAGGGAAAAGATTTTTGATTCTTTTTCACCCTGAAAGAGTTCATAAAGCAAACATCAAACCCCCCTTCTGCCTACCTTCAGTACGAGCGATGGTCATGAAGGTTTTGAAAAACCCTGCCTGTTTGGCCGTCATGGACATGACCTGGATCCGAGACTTGACACAGTCCATAGGATAGACCACCAGCCACAGGCACGCCCCCCCGAAACCGCCGCTGAACATGATTGGAGCCACACCTTCAACATACACAGTCACACCCATTACACACAAACACCTCAATACTGTGCATCAGATGTGTGTGAGGTGAGAGCAAATATAAGGAAGAGGAAAAACACATTAGGTGGGTAATAAACCTTCATTCATAACTGCTATTTCAGAGTTAAAGTCCAATATTAAAGTAACATTAGTGAATAATTGCAGCAATATTGATTCTAAAGAAAAATTCCATATACATTATATCATCAACCTGTGAGCACATTTGTGATCAACTGTTCTAGTTTAGGTTGCTAATGTCGCTATAAGCTGTAATCAAAATCTGACACGTCTGTTTTTTCGACAGGGTGTGGGTGCAGACAGAACATTTTCTCAGTACCTATGTTGTCTTTGTCACATTTCATGTAGTCTGCGAAGGTTGTGCGGCAGAGCTCATAGGCACCGAAGAAGCAGAAGTAACCGGGGACCTCTCTGGCTATGGTGGTGGTCAGGCCCTGGAAGAAGCCCTGCGGTCCCTCGTTCCTCATAATGGATTTCACCACCGACCACACTGTGCTTCAGACAGAGCAGAGGGAAGTATGGCTCGGTCAGTACACACATGCTACAGTAGTAGATGCAGATTGACATGTCCAAAGTTACACAACTACATGAATGACATACTAACCCAGATAAATATTACCAAATACCATATATGGTATGGTTAGCCAATCACTGTGGTGAATCAGTGAATCATCTTAATGTCTTCTCTCAATCACCATTTAAATATTCATGGTTTTACAAAGAAAACGCAATTTATCATTAATCATTGTGTAGTCATTGTGTTTTTTATATGTATTTTTAATAATTGGATTTGTTTTCAGGTTGGTAAAATATTCAGATTTCTTAAGTTCCGAATCTCTGAATTTTTTTACCAATTCTCTCTTCTGGTTTTTAACAAGAATAATGTAAAAATAAATCAATATATATATATATATATATATACACACACACACACACACACACGTAACAAAACTGAGCCTGTGGCCTTTTATTGTGGCCAGTCTAAGGCACACCTGTGCAATACCCATGCTGATCAGCATCTTGATATGCTATACCTGTGAGGTGGATGGATTATCTAGGCAAAGGAGAAGTGCTCACTAACTGATTTTGACAGACTTGTCACCAATATTTGAGAGAAATAGGTCTTTTGGGTACATAGAGAAAATCTTAGATCTTTGACTTCAGCTCATGATGAATGGGGGCAAAAACAAAAGTGTTGCGTTTATAATTTTTGTTTAGTATAAATTCCATTTTATTTGCATAATGTTAGTTAATATGTAATAAAGATGTGTTATAAACGTATTCTTTTCAGCATAACCCAATCTCCTAGACATTGGCCAATTTTATCAACAATAATAAAATGTAATGTAAGAGTAAATGACCCTAGAATAGAATCCAAAAATGTGTGTTAAAAACCACTTACTTCTGGCTCTTAGCAATCTTGCCCGATGCCTCCATTTCATACATGGCTTGCAGCCGACACTTGACGAGTTCGGTGGGGCAGAGTACTAGCGAGGAGAAGATGGATGCCACTGAGCCAGCACAGGCTTTTTGCATGTCACTAACGCACAGGGAAGGATAAACACCAGACAGTTAGAGATCTTCCATGTGTTCTCGGGGTAAAGTTGGCTTCATGTTTAAGGACAGCCTGGTAAACATCCCCCTACCTCAGCACAGCTTCACTGTGCAGTCCAGCCGTGACACGGATGACCTGCTGGCAGAAGCCGTAGCTCATGAAGAGCACAGAGTTCTCTGCGATGTTGGCCACTAGTGCCGGTGTGGTGCCCTGGTAGAGACCAATCAGACCCACTTGTCTGTAGGTGGACGAGATGCAATGGATAAAACCCCGGTACAGAGTAGGAAAGGTCTGCATCTTGACCTTTGCTGTGTCTAGAGGCTGCCCACTAAAGACAGCTGCAGCTCCCCCTTGGAGGAAGAGATAACCTTGTCAACAGCAGAAGTGATCCAACAGCATGGCTACAAAATTACAGGAAAATCCAAGTTTGTGCGCAACATATGCGCTTTGAAGAGAGATAAGAATCAGAGAGGGAGGCACTACATGAGCAGTACAAACAATCAATGGGAACACAGAAAGAAATGAGCTGGAAAAACACAGGAGTCATCAAAAACACCTGCTATGTCAGTGATAGCTAGTGAGTTGCAGTGGAAAAGCAGCGGGACTATTTCACCAGAGAATAAATATTGCGCATGGTGTATTCTGTTATACTGTTTGCCAAAACACTGTATTTACCTACGGCTCCTGCCGAGAGGTCAATAACGGCCTGGACCACCGGGTGTGGGGCCATGGTGTTCAAGAAGTTTCTCTTTCTCACAGATACCTGGTGAATAAAACAACTAATAAATGACACTTGAACCTCCTAGCTGCACTCACAACACACACAACTACATCATATTAAAGCAGTTAAATAAATAACTATAAAGACAAACAGAATATAATCAGTCATTTGTTTCTTCTTTCTTCTCAAATACTCCCCCTGAGCAAGTGAATATAACGGTTCTTACACCAGAAGGACCAGGGTCCTGGGCAGTAGCTGGGTAATAAAGTTCACAGCAATAAAACCGGCACTCATGTATAGCATTAGTAATTACTTACATGAAAACAGAATAGCTCTATAAAAAAGTATGGGTAGAAGTAACTTCCCGACAACCATTCGATAGTCCAAATGACACATTTGCATTAACAGAAACTGGACAACTGTGGACTGAATGAGGATGAAAATCATAATGTGCTTGTAACTTGTTTTGCCATTTCCAATATTCTTGTTTTGACCTAAAACAATGTAGGCACTCAGTCTTTTAAAATGGTGAAACATGACACATTGCAAAGCTCTCCAGTCTAAACACTATATATTTCTACTTTTAGGGAGTTGTGCTCCTTCCACAGCTGATTTATGTAGTTACCATAAACTGCATAAAAGAAGGTAATTACTCTGTTACCACAAGATTACGACCACCAGAGGGCGACAAAATGCTATTCTTTGTACCATCTTTTAAACATCACATTAGCCAAAAGGACATGTGTATGCTTTCCCCGTCGTTCAGAAACAAAAATTAAGAGTAAAATGTCAGACAACCTTCCCCTTTGACAGGTAACTTAACTTACGTCGACATACATTAACAATACCGTTAGGATGTTACCGTTAACAGAAAACCACAGGAAAGTTACTGTTGTCTATATAACGTTAGACAATGTTTGTTTGTGAGTATTATCCAGGCAGGCAAGTGGATAGTAATAATTTCAAAATACAAACCTTACAGGGGAGCGATGAGTTCAACTCGGGTCATAAAAGTGTCGCTGCTGGCGAGATGAGGTCACGTTAGAGTCTGTGCCCGTTAACTGTCATTGGCAAACATATAAACGGTAACGTTAACGTTAACCGAGCGAGCTGCCGTCCGATGCTAACGTCGTCCACGGGTGACTGCATACTAACTCACTAGGCCAAACATCCAAAGTTTATCGTAATGTTATCTCATATGCAACATCTACTCGCTGTGGTCAATGAATGGATCGGCCATCAGCGGTGTTGAGGAGAAGCTAGAGGTGGCGGATGATACCAGAGAGGCGAGCTCTCACTCTGCTCCCAATCGCAGGTATCAAACCCGCCTGCGCTTTATTAATCTAGTCGTTTCCACTCATTCGTAACGTTACATTTTTATAAGCGTGCGCTGAACATTACCAATAAATATGGTGTTATTGAATACAATTAATCTTGAGCTGATAAGCTTGCACGGAAAACAACGCATTTACTACAATTTGCGTAATGTTTGGAAGAATGCCAAAAACTGTTGCAGTCAATAACATTGACTGCAACAGTTTTAACATTTTACGTCTCTGTAAGTGTACATGTCTGTACAATAAAATGTGAAATGCGGTAGTCTATGTTTCAGATACAATAATATAACGTCACAAATGTAGACACTGAGTGATCATTTCAGTTTAAGATCTATGAGACAAAACGAGCACAAACGTTAGCGCTTCCGGTTCACATTCTTTTTTTTTTTTCAAAATAAACTCTCTTCAGAGGGTATCGTGGTACAGCGCCCCCTGCTGGTTGTTTTACTTTGTGTTTGAGGAATTCCAGTTATTCAACTGATCTTTTTTTAAACCTCCCACCCCCAAGCAGATTATGTTGCAAGTCATGTTTGTTCGTTTAACTTTAGCAGCTTTTTTACACTCCTGCTACAACAATCTTCTACATCTGCTTCAGATTCACATGCAGGTTAAAAGGTATACATTTTTCTACAATAAAATACATAATTATTTAGAGCTTTGTATAATTCTGTTCTACCTTGTTTAGCAACAGTCAGACCTGAAAACAAAACCCTAAATTTGGTTAATTCAGGTTTCCAACAGGAAAGTTCTTCACTCCCAACGACATCTAGTCATTTAGTGTCCACTTGATTGCAAATACACACAACATCCCTGTAGTTTTAAAGGAATGAATTAAATTGACATTTTTAGATGAACAATTCATTTTATAAAGCACCTTTACTACTTGACGCCCACGTTTGTTATCCACCTTCTGTTAGATCTGTCCCAACTCTTTTAAGTGCTGACTAAACATCACTGTGCAGGTAATGCAGTTTTTCTTTTACAACGAGACAAAAAGATCACAGCAAGATGGTGCAGAAGCACACCATATAATTAGCCTATTTGTATTAATAGAAGAACCATACGCGTAGGAGCCATAATACATGGACATGTAGTGTAAACTTTTATTTCGCATTGCCTGCCTGCCTGCCTGCCTCCGGCCATTTCGAAGTTGGCGCATAGTAGGCCATATGAGTGACTAGTCAATCAATCGCACACTCCACATCAGACATAATTAGAAAACACGCAAAGGTGGTGCTGAAAAGTTGAGGGAGAAACAAGAGGTAGCTCGTGGCAGGTGCAACAAAGTGCCTCAATATTACAGAGTTTTTCTTTAGTGCTGCTGTTACATGTAGCCTACCTGAAGACAGAAGTGAGGACGCCTGCAGCAGGGTGGGTAGTAACTTGTTACAAGTAACCAAACGCAAATTTGCTAAATAAATAAATCAAATCAAATAAGTCGTTGGCAACTTTTCACGTTTCTTTTTAAAACTGTATTTTTACTCTTTACTCCAGTATTTTCTTTGGGTCAGTAATCTACTTTTAATTTCGTTACATTTTCCATTCATAACTTCATAGCTTTACCAGTCTGTAATCTACATTTTGCTTCATTAACCGAAATGAGCTCATCCAGGCTGTGCGCAGTTATGCAGAAGAGCCCAGCTGGTCTCGGGCGCTTGTCACAGTCACAGAGCAGAGCCGATGCAAATATTTAGAAAATCAGACAAAGACCTTTTCAGTTTAAGACTTTATTGTTCTACTAATACAATTGAAATCCAGTGAGCGCACACCAGGGTTAGAAAGCAGCCTGCGTCGCTCTTTCTCAAGCTGGCAAGTGAAATACTTTCTCTTTCCATTAACGGCGCATTAAAAGCAGTCTCTGCAGAACAAATGTAGACCACACCCTGTAACATCTAAGTCAGATGAAAACTGAATTAATATTGATACATTAACAGTGGGCTATCCTGTTGTTGAGCAGCGCATCGCTTTCTTTTGATGGACATGTTTCTTTTTTCTAAAACACATTGGTGACTTTATAGCGATGTACGACGGTGAGTACATCACACAGAATGTCAATGTTTTCAAAAGTAATTAGAAAAGAGCATTTAAGCTCTTTTAAAAAAATAAGCAATGAGTGATTGTTATCATATACAGTAGTTTAGCTAATAAATATATTTTCTTTAAGACGCTGTAAGCCACATTCACTGCCACTAAATGTCGCAGAAGAGCACCAGCATCTCAGACCAAAACAAACCTACGCTATGGCCCACAAACAAACCAACTGTAGTTTGGTCTAAATAAATTCACATTCACAACATTTGATGAGATAAGTCATCGATCACTCTCCTCAAAACGGTTTCACATGCATTAACATATACAGATGCTGGTCATATAATTAAATTATCATCAAAAAGTTGATTTATTTCTGTAATTCCATTCAAAAAGTGAAACTTGTATAATGTATACATTCATTCCACACAGACTGATATATTTCAAGTGTTCGTTCCTTTTCATTTTGATGATCGACAACTAATGAAAACCCCAAAATCGGTATCTCATAAAATTTGAATAATGTGAAAAGGTTCAATATTGAAGACACCTGGTGCCACACTCTAATCAGCTAATTAACTCAAAACACCTGCAAAGGCCTTTAAATGGTCTCTCAGTCTGGTTCTGTAGGCTACACAATCATGGAGAAGACTGCTGACTTGACAGCTGTCCAAAAGACGACCATTTACATCTTGCACAAGGAGGGCAAGTTACAAAAGGTCATTGCTAAACAGGCTGGCTGTTCACAGAGCTCTGTGTCCAAGCACATTAATAGAGAGGCGAAGGGAAGGAAAAGATGTGGTAGAAAAAAGTGTACAAGCAATAGGAATAACCGCACCCTGGAGAGGATTGTGAAACAAAATCCATTCAAAAATGTGGAGGAGATTCACAAAGAGTGGACTGCAGCTGGAGTCAGTGCTTCAAGAACCACCACGCACAGACGTATGCAAGACATGGGTTTCAGCTGTCGCATTCCTTGTGTCAAGCCACTCTTGAACAAGACACAGTGTCAGAAGCGTCTCGCCTGGGCTAAAGACAAAAAGGACTGGACTGCTGCTGAGTGGTCCAAAGTTATGTTTTCTGATGAAAGTAGATTTTGCATTTCCTTTGGAAATCAAGGTCCCAGAGTCTGGAGGAAGAGAGGAGAGGAACATAATCCATGTTGCTGGAAGTCCAGTTTAAAGTTTCCACAGTCAGTGATGGTTTGGGGTGCCATGTCATCTGCTGGTGTTGGTCTACTGTGTTTTCTGAGGTCCAAGGTCAACGCAGCCGTCTACCAGGAAGTTTTAGAGCACTTCATGCTTCCTGCTGCTGACCAACTTTATGGAGATGCAGATTTCATTTTCCAACAGGACTTGGCAGCTGCACACAGTGCCAAAGCTACCAGTACCTGGTTTAAGGACCGTGGTATCCCTGTTCTTAATTGGCCAGCAAACTTGCCTGACCTTAACGCTATAGAAAATCTATGGGGTATTGTGAAGAGGAAGATGCGATACGCCAGACCCAACAATGCAGAAGAGCTGAAGGCCACTATCAGAGCAACCTGGGCTCTCATAACACCTGAGCAGTGCCACAGACTGATCGACTCCATGCCACGCCGCATTGCTACAGTAATTCAGGCAAAAGAGCCCCAACTAAGTATTGGGTGCTGTACATGCTCATACTTTTCAGTTGGCCAACATTTCTAAAAATCCTTTTTTGTATTGGTCTTAAGTAATATTCAAATTTTCGGAGAAACTGAATTTGGAATTTCATTAGTTGTCAGTTTTAATCATCACAATTAAATGAAATAAACATTTGAAATATATCAGTCTGTGTGTAATGAATTAATATAATATCCAAGTTTCACTTTTTGAATGGAATTGCTGAAATAAATCACCTTTTTGATGATATTCTAATTATAGATATAGTATAGTTTTACACCATATCACCTGCAGTTTTTGCAGTTAAGGAACAGTTTCTGTGCGTTGTCATGTTTTCTAAGCCAAGAGGAGGTTAAAAACCACATCCTTCAGATCCCTTGTTTGACTTTGTGTTGTTATTCCACTATGGCCCATATTTGCCTATTATCCAGAATCATGTAAGATGAGGTATAAGCACATGAACCAGGTTATTCAAAAGTGCTAGTAATAATAGACCTTCACAGCATGGACATTTTGACTTGTCACATTAGGAAAAGCACAGGTGTTACTAATAACATTAACAGCTCTGTTCTTTTCAAGTGTCCCTGTAAGTCATGACAATGTGACATTGAGCCAGCATGCACAATACCAGGATCCTGAAACTTAACCAGCAATATGTGATTAAGCCTTCATTAAATTTATTATTTACATCTGTCTCTATCCTAATGCAACATGTCAGAATGTCGTCTATGAAAAAGGACTATCGAAGGAATGAATGCCATAGCTCTGGAAATATCTTTTGCAAACAGTTCACAGTGGTTCAAACTAGCCAGATTAATTAGTTTAACAATCTAATCAACTTCAGAGGGGGAACTGTTGAACGAGGAATTTCAAAAACAGCTTAACTTGCTATGCGGATGATGTGGTTGACAAAGGTCAAGACAGCTAATCAATTAAAGTCCTTTTACTACACTTATAACCACATCAGTGTGACTCCCCCACATTATTGACACGAACAATCAAATCCTGATGGTAATGTTAAAGCAACCACTAAATATTTGTCTAGTTAAATGTACAGTGTATGAGTCCGAACAGGAGGGTGATTTATTTGAAAAAATTTTAAGTTTAGATTAAAAAAGTTTTAGTTGAATCTTTCTTTGTCAGGTTTAGTGATCACACTTAGTTTTGTTTGCTCTTTTTATTCCCACAAGATGCTTAAAAATGTATCTTAATCTTTATCTGATTCATTTTTAGTGTTAAATACGTTGGAAGACAAATCAGATTTGTTTTTTTTCTGTGTTGTGTTTGTAGGGAAAGCAAAGGCACTATGAAGGAGTGATTAGCTTTAGAAAAACAGTATTCATTCCCTTACATTTTGATGTACTATATATATATATTTAATTTAACTACCAATTGCACTGACTTAATGGGTAATATAGCAAGTTTTGCCAGTCCTTTGCTCCTTGTGTACAAAAAAAAAGTCACATTGTTGTTATTCAACTTAAACGCAGGCAAAAATACCATCTGTTTAAAGTGTAGCCTGGGATTAAATA